GCTCCGGGCCCCCTCCCTTGCCCCGGCGCGGCGCGCGAGCGGGAGAGCGAGCGAGCGAGCGAGCGGGACGCACCTGCTGCTGCTGCTGCTGAGGCGGCGGCGGCGGCGGCGGCGGCAGGCCCAGGCGGCCGTGGCAGTGGCGACGGCGGCGGCCCCGGGCCCGGCTGCTGCGCGTCCTCGCCGAAGATAAGCCTGAAGTCGAACTCGTCGTGGGCGCCGCCGCAGTTTGCCGCAGTCATCGGGGGCGGGTGAGGAGCCCGGACCCCGCCGCCGCCGCGCCGGGCTTCGCTGGGCTGGGCTGGGCTATCGGGCTGGCTGGCGAGCGCACGGACGGTCGGGCTGGGCTGCGGCGGCAGGCGAGCGGCCGCGCTCCCTCAGGGCCGCCTCACGACAAGGGGAAGCGGGCGGGCGGGCGCCCGGCGGCGGCGGCGGCGGCGCGGCGAGAAAGAAGCGGCTCCGGCGACGCGCCTCCTCGCCCTCTCGGCTCTCAGCGCCCGCCTGTCACTCACAGCCGCCGGAGGTGGGGGAGGGGCGGGCGGCCGCGGAGAGGCCCCGCCCCGGCCCCCGGCCCCGCCCCTCTCCGCGCGCTCCGGACCTCGCGCATGGGCGAGCGAGCAGGCCAAGCGACTCGGGCGGAGGTGTTGCACTGCCCTCGCTTCCGGGGCCGGATCGAAACCTCCCCCCACCCCCCGCGCCCGTCCATGTGCTCAGCCGACGACTCTCATGCAAGTTGAGGCAGTGTGTGTACCGGAGGGGAGGTCTAGCACGCCCAGTACGCCCCAGTAAGCTTGCCGATTTAAATCGAGGAATTAAGGCTGTAGTCCTGTGGAGAAAGCCCCGCGGAACTCACCGGCACCTCATGCAGGGTCAACGGGCATGGGGGTGCAGTGTAAGATCGCAATCCCATGCACGCACTGGATCTTGATGGAGCCCTAAATCAAGTGGTCCCACTAAAAGCAATGGGAAATTGAGTCGCGGCTAGCCCGAGCACCGTTGCTTCCAGTGGGTCTACGCTAAGCATAGATTTCTGGGAATCGTAAGCCCTTTGTCTGCAAACTTGCCCAGCGTTTCACCTTAAGGGAAGTTACAACGATCAGGTTCCGCAGCACAAGAGCAAAGGACCAACTCAGCCCAAGCTCTTCGCGCTTTACAGCCACTTCATTCTGACGGCTGATCGTCAGCTGCATGCAGAGGTGGTGCTGGTCACCACCAGTGGCCAGAGAGCCGACGTGGCCCGTTGGCTGGAGTGTTGGGCTAGTCCCCGCTCATCATGCAACTTGCCAGGTGACTTTGCACTGGCCCCTAACTCCCGGCATGGCCTACCTCACAGGAGAGAAGCACTGTGTACACCACTTGGGTTGCTTGCAAGAGGAAGAAAGATACAGATGTAAGGTAATAGGAACTGAAAACGTCCCAGGTCAGCTCCACAAGAGAACAAAAGGCAGGCTGGTGTGGGCTCAAAGCCACCTAGCCCAGGCGAGCTGAGGCATGAGAAAACCTCGGTGTCCTGCACTTTCGCTTCTGCAAGGGTCCCTGCGCAGTGGGAGTTGGGCGGGGGGGGGGGGTCAGGTCTGATTGAGTGTAATGCATTGATAAGGAATGCCGGAGGAATATTAAATATGCTGCTTCCCTTGCATCCTTGAGTCTGCCACTGATGTTTTTGTGGTTTTAGAGGATGGGTGGTTTTATTTATTGAGTTGCTTTGTACCACACTTTCTACTAAAAAAGGAAAGACTCTCAAGGCAACCTATATAATTAAAATTGATTAATGCAATAGATTAAACCATGGTTGCAAAAGGGAAAGAACTAAAACCAACACCGCATCCAACAGGCTCTCGTACGAGCCCAGAGGCCTTCTCGCATAAAGCCGTCTTTGCCTGCAGACAGAAGGCTAGCAAGCAAACCAAGTCTCCCTGGAAGGGCTGTCCATCACCTGCCCTACCCCAAAAAGACTTTTCTTGAATTGCCTCCAAACTAGCCTCTGAAGGGGCAGTCGCAACAGAACTGGGCCTTTTTTTCATGTTGAGGCTTTTGGGAGAGGCGCCTAGGAAATCAAATAAGCATCAAGCTGGCTCAGCCATGGGGTCCACTGGATGACTTCGGGTCAGTCACAGACTCTCAGCCCAACCTACCTTACAGGGTTGTTATTGGGGAGAAGACTGAGAGCAGGAGAATTTTTTAAGCCCCTCTGAGTTCTTTGTAAGAAAAAAGGCAGGCTATAAATGCAATAAATAAATTAATAGGCAGCTTCGAAGATAATCGGAAGCCTGAAATGCAGCTGTTAACCGCAGAAACTGATCTTCTCGGTGACAGATTCCCCCGCCGCCCCGTTCATCCGCCCGCCTGCCTCGCCGCCTACTGGCGCGAATTGCCCCGCCCCTTTAACGTCACGGGCTAGCAACATGCATCTTCTATGCCGCTGTTTTTAGTTTAGCCACGCCCAGCAGCTCCTCCTCCCAACTTATTTTTGTCCCCGCCCACTCGTGCCCCGCCCACACAAGCCTGGCTTGTTTCTCCCATGACGTAGAAACGATTAGAATCTTTCCTCGTGACTAAATACTAGCAGGAGGGGGGAGGCAATGGCGCCTTTGGTCACGTGGGCCGACCCCCCCCGCCCTTCCAGCCTGACGGGAATTGTAGTTTGCCATCGAGACTTTTCTTTCCCTCTCTTGGGGGAGCGACTAACCCCCCTTGTGAATAGAGAAGCTGCTGTATCCAGAGCACATACAGGATGCAAGCTATTTTATGCCCTTTCAGTTACAGCAGTGCCTGCATTGCCAGGTGTCTGAAATCAAACCAAGGCTCAGCCTTGAACATATTACTACTTGCCCTCAAGTCATCTGATGAAAATACCTCTGCTCTGCTCTGCTCTGCTCTGCTCATGTACAGAGTGTCTTTTCTGCGTACCTCACTGGCAGCCCTGGGCTCAGTATGTTGTGTTGTTCCGTTACAAAGTTGTGTCCAACTCTTCGTAACAGCACAGACTGCAGCACTCCTGTCCTCTACTTTTTCCCGGAGTTCACCCAAATTCATGTTCATTGCACCAGTGGCACTACTCATATCTAACCATTTCATCCCCTGCCATCCCCTTCTCCTTTTGCCTTCCATCGTTCCAGCATCAGGGTCTTCTCCAATGAGTCCTTCCTTCTCATCAGGTGGCCAAAGCATTTGAGCTTCAGCATCTGTCCTTCTAGAGAACAGTCAGGGCCGAATGCCTTTAGGATTGAGTATGCTTACTGAGAAGTAAGCCCCACTGAGTTCAATGCGATCTACTGCTTGGAAAAGACTTTTAGGACAGGGGCAAGGGTGGAGAAGCCGCTCGGGATCAGCTAGTAGGCCGGAGGGCACCATGCTGGGTAGAAGTCCGCTAGGACTGGAACTACGCATCTTTCTTTTGGAGACATCAATCTTCAATAGGCCCTCCGCATATGGGCTCTCCTCACCCTTGAAAATCCTGAGAGAGCTCATTTCAGCCACCTGCATGTTTTTCTCCTCCACAGGAAGAAGGGAGATACCGCAGTTTGGCAGAACCTGGCTGTGCCTCATCCCTCCCGCCTCACTGCCCCAAATGCCCCCCATCCATGGCGCCTGCCATCTTTGGCCCGCGGCCAGGCAGAAAGAGCCACGCTGCAACTTCGGGAGGTTTTCGGGGCTGGTGCTTTCCTGGCATGGGTCATGCCCATGTTGCCTCAGGGCAGCTAAAGGGCAGTATGGACAATAAATTAAGACACCCATAATAAAGACACTCTTCCCGCCCTCTCTCAGAACCCAACAGGGCCAACCCCACAAGGAAAATAATTGGCAGGAGATTCAGGGAAGAACTGCTTCACATGGTGGAACTAGTGCCGTTGCTTTTATGGTTTTATTCTTTTCAATTAATGTTTGTGTGTTTGCTTTAAGGTTTGTTTAATTTTGACTTTTGTTAATAGTCCAGAGAGCCTTGGCTACTGGGTGGTATATGAATGCATGCATGCATGCATGCCTGAAATTAAGTTAGGGTACTGTGTGTGCTGGTTTGGATGGATTTGAAAAGGGATTCGGTGGATTCTTGGAGGGGCACCTACCGATGTTATTGCAGGCAACCTCTAGGCTTAGAGCTTTGCTCAGGTGAGCTGCACTGTTTCTTCACCATCCCCGCAACTCCTACGGTCCAGTTACTATGAACTGTATCCAGACGTCTGGGCAAGGCATGTTTTCCATTTATTTATTTGTTTGTTTGTTTGTTTGTTTGTTACTTATTTATCTGAGGCATCTGAACCCCACTCTTCAGCCAAACAAGCCCCCAGAATGAAAGAGAAAGGAGAGCAAGCATTCGGAAGAAAACAGCAAACACAAGGAAAGCAGTGATAACCCAGCAAAATGCAGAACAATGCCTCTCTCCCGCACAAAGTAATTCAGCCTGCAATCCTGTGGCCTTCCGGCATCATCTGGGGGGCACTAGGATTTTTAGAGTCCGAGGACTGTGTCCTTTGCCCACAGTGTCCGGACTCTGAGACCCAGTCCCTGCTCCACCGCCTCGCAGCCAGTCTAGAGAGAGAAGCATACCAGCTTCTCCTCTTCCCAAGGCTGAAACTGGGTGTTAGAGGACAAAAAAGTAGGATTTCAGGAGAGAGGAGGAAAGGAGCACCCAGCCACCCTCCTTCCCTGTCCCTGGAGCTGAATCCAGACAGCTGAAAATGGCCATCTAGGGAAACACAGCATGAGGCAGCGCCCACGCTCAGCGCACGGTTCCACTTCGTTTCGCTGCGTTGCCTCTTTGCCTTCACTGTGAGCACATGGGGGGCTCATTCGTCTGGCTTTCACTCAGTTTAAAGCGCATGCGCAGCCCTAGGTTCAGGGGCGCTGAAGAGGATCCATCAGGCATTTGGGTATTATAAGCCATAAATAAGCCTTCACAACATGATAGAAAGCATGTGCAGAATACATTTTATTCTTCTTGCTTCATTTCAGGGATGGGAAGAAAAGAAACACAGGAGATATTCTGACCCTTTCATGCCTGCCGCATTCCTTGCTGTGGAGTGCTAATTTTAGCCACTAAAATAGCAAACTGGCTCAGTTTTAAAATTACATATTTATAGTATGCACATCATTTGACAAGTATGTTAAGGGCACAATCCTATGTAAGTTTAGACCAAAAAAAAAAAGAGCCGTAGGCCTTTTTTCTGTCTAAAACTGCACAGTAATGCAGCTTAACTGGTGGAATTTTTTAATTCTCTTTGACAGGCAAGATGTGGGACCTGCTTTTTCAATGATGTCTCATTCCACCCAGTTAAGCCCCACTTCAACCTTAGTCTAGCTTTGCAGATCTTTTTACAACATTTCATAGGATTTCAGGGTATTTGGAAAAGCCCAGACTTCAGAGCAGGAGCGACTGTCTGTCCCATATAAATTGGGATTGTTTAC